ATTAAAAAAGTTAACAGCATCCATGACTCGATGTCACTCGCATAATTTTTCAGCATGGAAATCCTTCTACTTTGCCCTTTGTTTCAGATTTTCAGTTTGGAAAGATATGGAATAGGTTTCTCTTTTTCTAACATCATGGAGGAATCATACTTTTTACTTTCAACCTACATTATGCTGACCTTTGACTCGGTCTTGTACATGCTGTTAGCTGTCTACTTCGACAAAGTTCTGCAGGGTAAGTGTGGCTTATGCTTATACCTGTACTTTCCTCCCTTTTACTTTTGAATTATATGGATTTTGTGTGATAGCTCCTCACAGAAACGATGGGCTTCTACCTTGCCTGCATCAACCAAAATAGATTTTGGACTGAAAAAGAAAATATTACACCTCTGAGGGACTTTTCTATCCCTGAGATGTTCTGGTAATTCCCAGATCAAAGGCAATGAAGTATTTAGTATTTTGTTTTCCCTTCTATTTTTACTTACACTGTCACTGAACTGTTCATGAGAAAAATAGGGTTATTTTATGATGGGCACTATATTAAATTATTATATAAATGATGAAATTAATTGGAAAGTGCCTTGAAGCCACCTTCTCGTGCTACTTAACCCAACTCCTGTGCACACTGATGAAAATTCCCCAACCTTTCAACGGGACAGAGCACCAATTTCGAGGCAGACAGGTAGTTTTCAGAAGTATTTACCATAGGATGGCATTCTGATGGTGCCTTCAATTAATGACACACCATTTTTTACGCTGTCATGCCAGGGAAATACGGCATCCCAGCCCCACCACTTTTCTGCCTGAAGCCCTCGTATTGGATGCTGAGCAGGAGGGGCTTTCCTGGGGAAGGACACAGAGGTGCTGGGAGCCTTGAGGAGCCCTCAGGAGACGATGTGGAGCCGGTGCCCCTCGAGTTCAGGGGGAAGGAAGCCATCAGGTTGGAACTGAGGATCGTGCTGTTCGGTAGCTTGGATCAACGCTCCTGCTGGCACCGTGTTGCCATCAGCTCTGCTTCCATCTTCACGTGGTTTTGTTTACATTAGAGTAAAATGTTGATGTGATAAATAGATAATTCAGGTCCCCGTAAACTCTCTGCTGTTTACTTTGCCATGGACTTTGGTAAATTGCCATTACAGACAACAAGGAGAACCTGGAGGGCAGCCTGTTGCAGAGGGGCCACCTGTCGCAATGGGGCTGGCCTTGTCTTTGCAAGGCTTGGTGCCAGTTAGCATGTGCCAGGTAGAAGTGTCCACATCTGTACACAGAGCACTCAAACTCACACTTCCCATGCCATTTCTGCCATTTTGAATTCAGACCCATACGAATAAGAAAGGACACCTAAATGCACTTACAAGAGCGCTGAAATAATCTCTGCCTTTCCTTCCTTTTTAGGCTCCACAATATTAAAAAAACATACAAAAAGAAAGACAAGAAGACAGAAGCCTTGAGAGGTATGAAAGCTGCGATATTAATTTCTGCTAAAGGAGAAGATTCACAGCTCTGCATATATTTCAGATGATCAAAGAAAGAAAACAATACTTGCATTGCTTGAAAAATTGTCCAAAATATTGATGCAACTGGTTACTACTTTATTCACTTTATACCCACTGATTTTCCATTCCTCCAAAAAGTAAAGAGAATAAGAAAGCTTTTTTATGTCTTTTCAGCTAATTCCAGAGCGGCTTCTTCTGCCTTCAGTTTTAGTTTTGCAGAATATTTCCTCAATTTTCCTTAATGGACTTCTGACTAATTACTGCTGCTTAGTTCTTATATTTCTGGACCTGCCTTGCCTTTGACAATGAACAGAGGGAAGTAAAACCTCCTTTTTTTTTGCCCCAGATTGGTGTTGTTTGTGTTTTAGGTTTGACTTTAAATATTTACGAGGGTCAAATCACTGCCTTGCTCGGCCACAGTGGGGCTGGAAAGACAACACTGTTAAATGTGCTCAGCGGGCTGACTTTGCCTTCTGAAGGTAGGATGGGACTGGTAAGCTGAAATGAGTGAGCTTCAAAGCTGCAAAGCCCAGCTTGTTCCCTGTCATCACATGCATTTGTATAAACAGGCTCTGCAACCATCTATGACTACAAGCTGTCAGAGATAGGAGACAGGGAAGAGATCAGAGAGATGGTCGGTGTCTGCCCACAGTTCAATGCGCAGTTCGAAGTCCTAACGGTGAAAGAAAATTTGCAAACCTTTGCAGAGATCAAGGGCATCAAATCCAAAGAGGTAGAGCGAGAGGTAAGAGCAAGTTCCCCTGTAATGCGAGCCTGGGGCCTTGGTGCGCCCATAGCAAGCTAACCTTGGTTCACCCAAAGCAACCCAGCATACCCTTAGAAATCACTTATTTGGTGCCAGCCACACCTCTTTTGTGGTTCACAAAGGACAGACAGATGCTTCTGGGAATGGGCTTTCTTGTGTTTATTGTAGGTGCAAAACATGTTGGAACTGCTGGATATCAGTAGCGTGCAAGACACTCAAGCTGAGAAATTGAGTGGTGGGCAAAAAAGGAAGTTATCCATTGGGATAGCCATGCTTGGGAACCCACAGGTAAAGCAGCTCTGTAATATACAGAATATTCAGTAATTTTAAGGTGGCCAACGTTATTCCAGAAAGATGGTAAATTCTTTACCTTAATTTTGCACATCTAGTTTAAAGCAGAGTCCCCTGAGCAGTGCCCAGAGCGGTTGCTCCTGCACTCCAGATGGCCTGGCTCTTGTCTCCAGGACCTGAGGCTCTCAGGGAACACCAACCCCACAAGCCGTGCAACCATTCCTTCAGTGGGGATCAATGTCTGATCTCATCCCGTGTGCAGGTGCTGCTCCTGGATGAGCCGACGGCGGGGCTGGATCCTCTTTCCCGACACCAGGTGTGGAGCCTCCTCAAGGAGCACAGAGATGGCCGGGTGATCCTCTTCAGTACCCAGTTCATGGATGAGGCCGACATCCTCGCGGGTAAGCAGAGGCTCAGCATCCCTGCAGAGCATCCCTGCATCTGGAAGTCCTTTTCTGGGCCAGTCAACCTGGGATGAAAATTCGGATCGTGGGATCTACCCTCAGAAAAATACAAAATACCACTGAACTGCCCGTGGGAGGTCCAGATGTAGGGAAAAAAAGATGAAATCACTGCTCTACATATTAAAATCTTCTTGTGCTTTTTTTTTCTCTGTAGACCGCAAGGCTTTTATCTCACGTGGGAGGCTAAAATGTGTTGGCTCCTCTTTGTTCTTGAAAAAGAAGTGGGGGATCGGCTATCACTTAAGGTATGCACTTCAGCTGTACCGACAAGGGTCTGGGAATAGGCATGAATCCACTAAGATGATTGTAAAAAGGAAATTCAAAACAGCACAGTGAGCTGAATTCACATTCAGTTGAACTAGCTGAAGGTGTAATTTACTCCAGAGTAAAGAATGAAGTACAGTTTGATGCATCCTAGCAAATACAGCCTTGCTTCCATTTCATTTGCTGTTTGTTTAGTTTTCAATACTGACCATTTGCTTTTTCCTTTCAATTGAACAGGATCCATGTCAGTGATTCTTGTAATGTAGAGAAGGTGACATCTCTGGTTAAGCAGTACATCCCCAGTGTCATGCTCTTGGGACACGGTCAATACGAGCTGAGATATAAACTGCCATTAGAAAACGTGAATAAATTCCCAGGTAATGGTTACGAAAATAATTCAGAATTGTCCATAGAAAAGGGAAACTGAAATATACGTGAGGAAAGAGAAATGAGGAACTTCTGCAAGGATCTCATGAAGACTACTAAATCGTTGCATGCAATGGCCACTACCCCATACCTGCTGCAGCAGTTGTGGCCATCAGTCTGGCAGTCCCATAGCCCTGCTGCCTGAAATGTTGATGCTAAACAGAAAAACCTGCCTGTGGCAGGAGGTTGGAACTAGGTGATCTTCAAGGTCCCTCCCAACCCAACCCATTCTTTGATTCTGTGATTCATTCTATGAAATTTTCACTGAACTGTGAATGTGGCAGTTTGGGGTTCCCTCCAAACACCCTGCTTGCTGGCAGTTATTGCTTTGCTATTTTCCCTATGACTGGAGATACCCCACTCTGTTTGACTTCACCTCTCCAAAGTCTGGTCTGTAGTCACGCTTGTGTTTGACACCTTGGTGGCACTGACCATACCTCTGTCACACAGATCTGTTCAGAGGCCTCGACGCCTGCTCTCACCTGGGAATCATCAATTATGGAGTTAGTATGACAACCCTGGAGGATGTCTTCCTGAGACTGGAAGAAGCTGCAGTGGACCAAGAAGGTACAATTGTGGCTGCCAACACACAGCCCTCAGCCAAGACAGCAGCTGCTTTACAACCACCCCAACATCGCTGTATAGAAGCTGGTTTCAGACATAACAGCATGTGGAAAACTCTCTGCAGATAAGTGTGTCTCTGGGGAGCGGGCAGAAGGAGGAGCACGGAGCCCAGAGGAGATGGAGTCAGGCTCCCTGCTGCTCTCAGACACTGAGAGGATGACAGTCAGCTGCTGGGCACTCTGGAGGCAGCAGGTCTCTGCCGTGGCATGGGTGCGCTTGCTAAAATTCAAGAGCTCGGTGAAGAACCTCCTCTCCATGTGAGTATAACAGGGATGCCCTTGTGCAGACCTGGAGCTGGGGGCAGTCACAGGAGGGGGATGATCTTCATAGCCCTGTTCACATGAGCATTTGGAGTAACTGATATCGGGTCTTGGCTATGAATGATCTTGACAATCTGCACTCAGAGAAGAGAAAAGCAGATTGTTTTCCATTGCTGGTAAATATTAAATCTGCCGCAAACACAAATGCCTCTCCTCCCTTCCTCCCTTCCTCCCTTCCTCCCTTCCTCCCTTCCTCCC